AATCCTGTGCAGCAACAAAGGTGGGGACAGGAACCACCTGAATAGTATCTCCCTCCATCTGTCCTCTGCTGATGAGGCTAATAGCACATGGCTGCTGAACCCAGCAGTGCACGCAGCCTAATCCCTTTAGACAGGGCTACCTCTCCCAGCGTGCTGTACTAACAACGTTACTGAAAAATAATACTACAGGAAAACATGTTGTTTTCTAACAAACAGGCTCGAGGAAAAAAGAAAGTGTTCGAGGTGAGGCTCTGTAAACCCATTCTCTTTTCAAACACAGCAGTGAACTCCTCTCTCGCCGTGAGTTGAAATTCATCTTCAGTAGGTGACAGTTACAACAAGCTCTCAAGTGGTGAAGTGAAATCTTCCTTGTGGTGCAGGGTTTTTTAAGAGTCTAACAAAATCTAAGACATAAAGATAACAGGTGCGATACATTCCTAATTCTTCCTGAGCAGTCAATACATGGTTAGTTTTGCAGCTATGAACTTCAGGTATACATTTTTTTATTCTAGATGGTAAGAAGAAATGCTCTAAACTCTTTGAAACATTTTTAAAAGCCTACATGTTACTAAAAATATGCACAGATATTCATACATACACTGTTCTCTAGAAGAGAGTATTTTGGAGGAAATAATTGTAACTTCACAGTTCAGAGGAAAAAGCAATCGTTTTTCGTTTGTGCTGTAACTGAAATGCTGTGCAACACAAATATAGATGTCCAAACACTCATTAAATCATCGTCATAGCAAATGGCCAAAAAAAAAAAGTTATTGAGAAAGTTTTGCTGAAATTCATGGAGTCGCAACAAGAATTTATATTGATTAGTTCATTATATTCAGCTCTAATTAACTAGCTCAACATTTAGTGTTGTGAAAACAAGCATGCAATTTGACCGAAGGAATGTTTCTTGTAGTAACCAAAACCAACCAACTACAAACCTTCTGGCAGACCAGATGGGGGTTAAATTCTAACCTGATCATGCTGACACAAATGAGGGATTATGTAGGTAGCAATTGCGTTCCAAAGAAAAGCATATTTTTGGCTTAGTTCAACATATAAAATTCATTTTTCTTGCTGATTCTTGTAACCAAGGGCAGGTATGAGTCAGTTCTCTTAAAAAGAAGTCCCCAGAAGCAATGGTCCTCAATATGTCTTCCCAGATTAGCACGGATAGAACAACTGAGCAAATTTACAAAACTGTTTGGAACTGGAAATTTTCTTTTAGTAAACTGCAAGATTTCAGATAATGTATGTAGCCAAAACCCACATTCAGATCTAAGAATCTTCAATAGATTCACTAAATAAAATTACAAAATAGTGCTGCAATTAATTTGATTCTGAAATAAAATAGGATTTTTGTACATAAACATTCTGCATAAAATATCCTCTAAGTCATTGAGGCACAGATGTAAATGGGAAATTAGATGCCTACCTCCCACTTACGCCATTAGAAAGCAGATATCTAAACAGGATTATATCTCTCCTTGATCCCAAATATTTATGTTATCCTGTATTTGTTTCTCAGTCTATTTGTACTAACCAAGCTGAATTTCTGTCTAGTGGTATTCTGGACAAATTTCAGGGAACTGTTGATACTGATGATGACACTGCTCTGTTGCTGTTGTTTATGGTGTTAGGAATTGTAGCAGGGCAGGATAACTGTCAGCTTGCTTATCCATTTCTTGCTCCCCATTACCACCACCATGCCTCAGTAACTGTGGGAACAGGGTCAAGGCACTGAAGAGGAATTTGGAGGGGCGTTATCAGCAGAAAGGAAGCAAGACAGAGACAGCTTCAGAAACTGGGAAGAACTTGTGTGTCCAGCCAAGTGAATGTATGGTTATAAGATATCCAGGAGGTAGAGTGATTGCTGGGAGAGGATGTCTAGGAATTACTGTGGCTGTCAGGAAACCGACAAAGCCGTATCCCACTGTGTGCAGCCATCCATTATACAAGTACCTAGGGTAGTCTCTGACAGAGAACATCTTAAGCCTAGTACAGTGGGCAGTGCCCTGTCCAAATAATAATTGCTTTTGTTTACAAATGATAAATTAAGGTAGAAATTAATGGGTGTTGAGATTTCGTCCATGTAAAAGAAAAATATTTATTTCTATCTACATACAAATTCCACTTTTCTTCAATTCTTGAAAAAAAGAAGAGAAGATTAAGGTGCAATGGAAGGCTGAGAGAGTGGACAAAGTGACTGGAGTATATTCTCCCAGACTTATTTCATATTTGTTTTCTTTGTCTGTAATTACAATCTGTAAGTTACACTATCCAACGTACAGTGTCACATGGATGACATGCTGACATTCAGAGTAGAGCAATGACACTTCATAGACTTGCAGTAAGAATTCTTACCTACAGTGAAGAAACCAAAGTGGCCAAATCCCATTATGAATAATACTGTTGTACTGCAGTTTCTGCTTCCAAGACAGAAACAGGAAGAGCTGGTCTCCAAGAAATGCCTATGAAACGATGCTTATAAATCTTGCACAGCAGCAGCTTAGCAGTTGAGTACTGAAAATAATACTCAATGTTGTTCTAGGGTCTCTTCTTCTCCTTTATCAAGGAACAGCTCTTGTCCAGTAAAAGAGAACACTAAAACTAGTATTTCAGCTGTAAGTTACTCTAAATCCACTCTGTATTCAGGATTGCATTCTGTTATTTATATTGTTTAAAAGTAGAATTTCTTCTGTATGTTCAACCCTCAGTGCAGTACCAAGTAATATCTGTGATGCTTTGGGAAAATGAGTGTAACTGATCCTCAGATACGCTGATGCAGCATTCAGTGCTGATGGTTCATAGGGAGCAATGCCATCAATCCTTTCCACTTCCCTGATCCCAAGGTCAGCAGGAGCCAATTCAGACCTTGCTTTAAATAAAGGTACCTGAGGCCAGTTCTAAGTTATACCAAGAATAAAGGTCCCAAGGGCTAGCCAGCACAGTGTGTGTGTGTGCCAATATGCTGGATAGACACAGGAGAAGCTGACATAGAGCTGCTTACCAATGCTGGGCAGCTGAGAAGGGCTGATTGCTTTTACCCCTCTGTTTCCCTGTATCACAAATGAAGATCACAGACCAGGGATGAACTGCTCTTAAAACTGCTGTTATCTGTTTTTTTGTTTTTCCTCCTGTGTAAGTCTCCCTTAAATTTGAAAATGGGCTATGGATGCAATTATCAAGCATATGTTACCAAAAGTGTTAAAAAAGGCAATGTAGCTGCTGGCATGGTACATGAATGGAAGACCGTATTTTATAAATCTTACATGGAAAAATGGCTTTTCAGGCTGTTATGATCCAGAATGAGATAAATTATGTGATTTCATTATTAATTCCAAATGGCTGGCAAAAGAATTCTGCACCAATGGAATTTTAAAAGACTGCACTGTATTTCAATCCACCAATAACATACGATACAAGTTAAAAATATGCAACCAATCAAAATATCTGAAAACCCAGAATCTGAAACCCAATGCATTTCACATTTCCAGCTCTGATGTGGCATACATTGGACTCTGTATGCAAGTGACATATTGCTGAACATATAAAGTAAAATCTGTAATTCCATCTCAACTGCTCAGGACTTGTGGTCTGTTTTATACTACAAACAAAATGTGATTGGGAAAGAATCCAAAATTGCTTGTATGGAAGTTACTTCTAATCTGGTTTTCACTGATTGCACTACCATGCAATTCCTACTTGCCCAAAAATCATCAGCTGTCAGGAGAGGCTTGCATAAAGGCTGCAGGATAGGGACTAAACCTGTGAACAACCACTAGTACAATGAGAAGTACTAATTGACTGCAACAGTAACTCCCACAGGGTATGGCAAAGCTTCCTTTGGAGGCAGCGAAGCACAGAAAAGCCAGATGTTCTCATACGATAGCATTAGGCACCTTGAACTCTAGAACTGTATGTGCTTAGTTAGATGTAGACTGTAAGTACTCTGTCTACAATCCTGATCCTTTTTATTCCCTGAAGCACGAAGTACACAAAATATTCTCAGAAAAGTATATTCAGTCCTGGGATTCGGATATTCTGTGTGTGGTATGGAACACAAGGGTGGTCCATGCAACAGGCTGTGGTGGAGAAGGTGGTCCCTAGGCAAAGTAGTCTCAGCCTGTACACTGACTGCCACAAGCTTAAACCACATCCTACAAGTATTTTGCTGTACATATCCTCACAGATGGTGCACATTTTCTAGAGACGTGATTTTCAGTAGATAAGTTTAGCAGATCCAAACCCAGCATCTCAACTCCGTATCACGGAACCATAGGTTTGTGCATTTGTGTGCAGTCTTACTGAGGCCATAACCACAGTAAAACAGAGGTAGGAGATAAGTGACTTCAGGGGGTCAATGCAGTCACAAGGGAGTTCAGGTCTTGGTGGTGCTTGAGAGTTGTTGTCGCAACTGCAGCCAACTCTTAGGTCTTCTGCTATAACTAAGCAAGTTCTTGCCAAAGAAAGAGCCACGAACAGTCATCTTTCCACACAGCATTGCCTACCAGTCGGGAAGGATTCTTTTGTTTGATTTAATCCCTAGGAAAGTCTGCAGCAGCTTCATTACAGCTAACCATCATCTGTCCTTCAGCTCAGAGGTCTGAAATGGTGACATCAAACAGAAAACAGAGATGAAATTAAAATCACTGTAGCAGAATTATGCTAGATCACACCACCAACCATGTCCTGGAGGGACCACCACAAAATGCTTTTACACACCTGAGAAAGATCCCAGGAGATCAGGGACCTTCTGACAGTCATGAAGGGTGTCAGCAACATGCCAAGCACATCTCTCTCAGTGCAAATTTTCATTGCAAAGTAAGTAAAGCAGTAAGGCAGCCATGTAAGCAAAATATCAAAAGGTGAGTCCTAAATGAACTGAACCAAGAGCTCCAAATGAGAAGATAATGGTTTTGCCAGTTACCCATCTGATCTTTTTAATTTCATAGGAGGATAGGAGAGAAAAAAGGTGATTTCATTTTCTCTTACCTTTCAACTCAATCAGCATTTGTATTCTGCTCAGGTGCTAGTTTTGCATAACTCAGGGGCAGATTTAGACCCACAACTGGGCCTACAGTACTGAGCCACAATATAATGTAATTTGTGTGTCTACGGGAAAAAAAAAAAAAACACAAAAAAGCACCATAAAGATATTATCCCAACCTTTTCTGAATTGCAGACACACTTGACAATCATAAAATAACTTCAGACAGGGCTCTGCCTTCGCTTTATCTACAGCAACTGTATTTTAACTTTCAGCCTTTAGGTGACAATACAGAATCTTACTCTATCTGGGCCAAGGAAGTTATTTTGACCATTTCCACTTTCCAGCTGATTTACTTTATCTGCATTGCATAAAGCCTTGCAAGGCACAGTAGTGTTTTGTTACCTGTCGTGTTTCCGTGAACTGGTCAGTATTGAAGACATGAATTCACTAGTCCGGCAGGGGTGCAGAACAAAAAATGGCTGCCCAAGTAAGGGGTGCTCCTAAGAGTGAATATCAGTTGTTTATTATGCAAGAAGAAAACAGACAAGACACCGTATGCATTTGGAAAAGACAAAGCAGGGTCCAGTTAATCCTTCATGCAACTTTTCTCATTTCAGAATCTAACCCACTTCGCTTTTCATTGACAGCCATTGACAAATTAATATTTGAGACCATATTCTCCTATCTTAAAAGGGAAATAAGATCACTCACTCTGGCTATGCCACCATTTTAGTTAAAATGTAATGGTTTGCAAAAGTAACTCAAGTTAAGTTACTGTATCAGCATTACCTGCAAGTAAGCAAAGCTACTGTGTAAACAAGTATCTGATCAAATGTAATACATAAAACAAATCCACTCCATGGAAAAGCTCTTTAACAACCTTGACCCCTTATGCTTGTTATCTTCTCAAACTGGTGCTGGGAAGTAAACACCGTTTAATTTGGAGCCTGTGAGGGGGAGCAAGAGGGAAGAAGGAAGAGCCCTCAAAGTGGCTTTAACTTCCACTAGGTGGCATATCCTCATTTTAGGCTATTCTACAGAAAAATGCCCTAAACCAGTTGTTCTTCAAGAAGCCCAGTCAAAACCGTCCTGAGGAAAAAAAGAAAATCATTTAGTGACAGTTGAGTTTGCAGTCAGACACAGTCCCTACGACACAGTAAGACTCTGCCTGTTCCTCTCCACCTTCACACTGCACAGGGTGCTGCTGAAAACTCAATCCAACGCTCCATAAAGCTTTCACTTTCATCTCCAGCCGGCACTTGAACAGAATACGTGTTCTGACTTAATCAGGCTTGCACTCAGTGCAAAGCCATAACAGTGATCTCATCAGCTCTTACATGGGTGATACCAAGATATCAGCATATCTGACTGTCTCACACACCATGCCCTAGGGAATTGATTTTCCTTTAATGCTGCTGAGGTCACCGCTAGTACTTCTGCACCAAAATAAACAAATCCTACCTCATCCCCATGCGCAATAAGGGGCGCAACAGCACAGCAGGGAATGGCTAGAAAGGGTTTCCAGACAAGAAAGATGTCAAATATGAAACACCACGACAGCCTGTTTACAACGGAGCACAGACCGTGCATAGATGCTGCTAAGCCCAGGACGCTGCCGGAGCTGAGAAGCACACAACGCAAGGCAGCAAGGTGGGGAGAAGCAGGCATGGACCACGACAGAGAAAACTGCAGGATCACCACCTCTGCACGGTGTTCCCCGTTCAGCCCTGTGAGCCTGGTCCACTGCGCTACGCTACTCACCAGAGCCACGGCAGAGACTGGCTATGAGGACTAACGTGAGGAGTGTTTTTTCCTGCGTAAAGACCTTTTTCCTTAGGTGTGCTTCTTGCAGTGGCTGTTTCTCGAAGGCAAAGAAGAAGAAACACTAAATATATGCTCTGACACAGATTTCCCTTGTCCAAGCCAATACGGGTATAGCCAGACTCCCCTAATAATTCTGTGATGGCATTTTATCTTAGCATGTAGTAAACTGCCTGCACTGAAGAGAAGACGTTCATAGAATAAGTCTTCCTGCTACACAGTAAAACCTCCTTCTCCAACCCCTTGTCTAGAAACAAAAAACAAATCCTTGTCTGTCATGTTCAGCAAACAGGACATGTTCCTTATTATTAAATATTAAACAGGGTCTCTTAGAGCTGAAGCACACTTGGTTCTTACACTGAAAATGTACTCATGTGGATCAATTATTTTGTGCCTAAGACAATTTTAAAAAACTTCCAGAAGCTTCAGAACATACAAAAAATAATGTTCAGAAAGCTTTGGTTTACATTGCAATGCAAACAGATAACTTGCGCAAGAATGCTACCATCTGCTGTTGGTAAAAGTGAACTGATGCTGTTTTCCATTGAGAAAAAGTGGTAGTTTGAATTAAAAATCCTTTTAACTATATGCTAGTTTAAATCAGCTTAAGTCTCCAAATAATTCTAGAAAATACATAGATTGTGCCAATGGTATTCCTCAAACATAGCAAAAAAAAAGATAGTTAAGAATAATTACAAAACTATTAAGCAAAGAAAAGTAGATTGGGCAGCAATTTCAGCCAACTCCCTTACACAAAGAGCGAGCGTAAAGAGGTAGCACACGCTCCCAAAAAGAACAGAGAAGATAATCTGGGCTTTAAGTGACTTAGCACTCTGCACAAGGCATAAAGATAATTCCCAAAGCTGAATATGCAGCCTGAAGTCATGCCCAGCCTCCTGTCACCTGGTATTTGATTCTACCCTGCACTTCTTGCTTCAGCAAACCCCAGTGAGGGACAAGTGGAGGCCAGACTTGATCTTTTAAAACAGCTTATTAACTTTACATTCTACACCTTTCTTCTTTTCATCCTTCCTGTTCCTACAACGTGAAAGAGTGACACTGAAAAAATTCCCAAACTCTAACAATTAGATGTCCATATGAAAAAGCAGAGTGCATTGCTACTCAGTTTTTCAAAAGGGTAACATCCTTGGCCCCACCATTTTTGGCATCAATCTGTGTCTTATGAACGTGTGATAGAGGTGAAGTCTGTTCACACTCCAAATTCCCTGCAATCTCTCCTCCATTCTTCTTGAATGGGTAGAAAGGCTCTTTCTTCCCCTCCGGATTCAGCAGATGTAAAGGGAGAGGTTTTTGCTACAGGAGCCAGCCATCAGCTTCTGGGTTGACATGAAGGCTCTGAGGACGCTTGGTCTTGGTTATTCAAACCTTCTTCCTAGCTTGTTTCCTTGTTCTTCAAATTATCAAGGGTTGCTTCATACACATCCTGAAGTAACAGCTATGCCAGGGTGGTATAAATCTCACTATAATACACAAAATTTTGAACGGCAACAATGAAATGACCCAGGGGTTTAGTTAAACTCATGCTGCTCCTTGGCTAGGCTCTGAGAAGGGCATGTGCACTAAAGCTGCAGGTCTGCACATTCAAGAAGAGTTGCTTTGCTTTCCATTTAGCAGGGTATTTTTGAAAACTGAACACTGTCCCCGATTGGTTTAACTCTAATCCAGGAAACTGAAGTTCATTATTACACAGATCCTTCAGCAGCGAAAGTTCACAGGCATGATGTCATGCGAAAAAGCTGTGTCCAAAGTCGGAATTTTTCAGTAAGCTTGCTGCATGTGTCTTTCCTACCCTAAACAAAAAGCATGAAACTGCAAGAAAGACATGCTGTTTATTCAAAACCTGGAATACAGGAGTATGTCACACACTGGCAGGAAAACACAAAACCACAAGAGATTAAGAGAAATCCTGACCCAAGACCCATTAATCAGGAGCCTCTAAAAAGGGAAAAGGCCGAGGCAGGGAAGAAGAGCTGTTGAGCATCAGGGAAAATGATCTGAGAGCATCAGATGTGATTCAGTCAAATCCTGAATTCCAAATCCTGTATATAATGGCATCCCCAGGAGGCTTTAATGTATACTCAAGGTTAAATCACTGACACAGCAGCTCTGAGGAGGAAGTACCAGACAGCTGCCAATAAAAATGCAAGAGTTATCAAAGCCCTGAATGATTTCAGAATTGGTAATGGGCTACAGAGCCTTTTCACTGCCAGGTCACCAGTTCCGATTTGGCCCGGGCTGGCAGTAGCTAGAACTCATTACTCTATAATGGCGGTATCTGTCAGGTTTCATGCAGTCTAAATGCCATTTAGTGCCCTTGCTGGTAGTCACTACAGATGAGTCCAGAACTGAAGATGGTGGTTTATCTTGTCCTCACAGGGGGCAGACCCTGTAGGTCAGCTCTGAAGTCAGGAAAAGCAGGGAACTCACACTTCTGCGCACGGCATGCCCTAATAGAGGGCTGCGCATCTGCAGTACGATGAATCCCAAGTCCTTCTCAAACACTATCAGGTGTGAGAATGAATGAAAGTTTGTGCTGCGTCAGCTTCATGAGCATATTTACTACCTGCTGCAGTCATCTGGTGGAATGATGATATCCCACATGCAGTGAAATGTACCCTGAGTAAAATACTAGGGCAGCAATACTAGCCTTCAGCTAGCCTGATCCATGAGACAGTTACATGAAAAATATAAAGTCCTACTGGGACTTTGTGCAAAAAAACCAACCCACTTTAAATAGTATAAAAGAGTTTTCTGACTTGTAGTTTACAATTAATCTTTTTCCAATCGGTCATGTAGCCATGCATTTTAGAGTAATGTGTGAGAGTTTCAAGTCAATTCTCATAATTACTCGCTGGCATTGTACAGCAAGAACCCATTTGCGGGTTGCCCACAACTCTTCTGACAGTAGTACACTGCCACACAGTTTATTTGAAATCAACAACATTATTTTCTTGTATCTATCTACCTATGAGGCTGATTCATAACACTGCACAGCACTGTACATTGGAGTCTATCATACATCTGCATAGCCCTTTGAGTCTGACCCAACTTCCATGGGAAATAAAATTTTTACAGGCAGCAACTAGCTCCATTGAATTTGAAAGCTCAAAATGTTGCTTCATTTATCTTCTGTAGAAAGGCCTCTTTACTAGGTGACTTCAAGAAAGACTTGTAAGGATGTTCTGTACCCATTTCTGTAGCTGTTACCTCAACTCCTCCCACACAAAACCATGCAAGAGATAGATGGATGAAAGATGTGAAATGTTTCATTGGGTAGTTTGAAAATGAATGTAATTTTGTTTAGGAATGCTACACAAGATTGAATGTGATTGAGCACTGGCAGCACAACAGCTTAGTATTCATTAGCTACGCAACTATAACCAGCCACGCACAGGTGCTGAGCTGCCTCAGTTGTGAGGTTAAACTGGTAAGCTTAAACCTCTTCCACCAAGGTTTATGTTAGACAGTGTGCCTGAGCCCTTGGCAACAACAAAAAATGAATGCTACAGGCTTCCGGAGGACTGGGAAACACTTCAGTTGAGCAGCAGCATTTTCTACATGGTGTAAGAAAGCCTCGTCCCACAAAGTCCATCAGGGATGTGAAGGCTTGATCAACCATCCTTCACCTATCCTGTCATCATTTACTAACAAAACTCGA